AAGGGTAAAAGGTAAGGGTAGAGTGATTGTATTGTGGTAAGGTAAAAGGTAGGGTAAAGGTAGGCTCGTTGTTTTTACCTTTTACCTTACCTTGCCGAGGTCTAGATACGAACAGTATCCGACTACACACAGCAGGCAATGGAAAACATACGCGCAACGCAATCATCGATGACACTACGACCCTCAAAGGGGAAACATGCAACGGGGGACGCTTCGGGCAAAGGCCCTGCTCAACGAAGTTCTTGTTATTTGTGTTTGTGTGCCACTGCTGAAGCGCTATCACAAAAAATAAAGTTTAACCCGCGGCATGGAACTCTTCACACTGTCCCAGTTCCCACGGGTTCCATTCATTGTCAAGTGTCCGGGTTGCAATTCAACGACATGATTGATTTCTGTCTTGTTTTAAGGTCTTTTTTTATTGTTTATGTTATAATCTCGCACAATTATGTACGCTCAAGAAGCCAAAATGTAACATTATTTGTATAACATATCTATAAATCATTCAATATTTGATTCTCGCACGCACAATGCAGTATTCCACGCGTGTATCAGTGAGCAGCAGAATCGGTGTTAATCGACGAGCCCATGAATCATTGGTTACCTACAACGCACTGCATAAATACTCCCACAGTTGACACACTCGTTTAAAGGAAGAAAAGCAAAAGCCTGTTCTTCGATAAGAGAAAATAAAAGCAAAAAAAAATCCTGAAACGACAGCCGCATTCATCACAACCGTGGTGTTAAAATAAGCGAACACAACGTGCATGGCCGTGTTTCCCCAGCAGCATAATGTATTACACGCGAGCGGGATGGCTCTTTACACACAAATTAGGTTAATCTGCATCTCAAGGGTGTGGTTATCGCAGGCAGCCTGATGTATTGTTGGCCAAGAGGGAAATAAGAGACAGAGCGATCTACCGATTAACTATGCGGGAGGCTGCCTGGATGATCGGGCAATCAGGAGAAAATTCACTCGATGGGCGGCTCGGATAAGACGCCATGAAGGTTGTAAAAGGCCCACTGGGAAGCGGAGTGAGGACCAACAGAACGGACTCCTCTTCAACAGCAACGTCTCCGGAAGGGTGGCTCAGCGGTAGAGCGAGAGGCTCGCAAAGGGAAGGTTACGAGTTCACATCATTGCAGGGTCGATATCCTTTGGAGAGACTACCCCCCTCCCCATGCCCGGCATAGGAATGTGTAATTTCCATCACAGGCTGAGGGCTGTTAACAGGAGATGAGCACCATTGCCTCAGTGGTGATTTGAGCACAGAACCTCTTGAACTTTTTGATGACAGTAAGAAGGTCACCAATGGAACTGACACTTCACTCGGCACGTGCCAATTCGCAAATCCTTCAATGAATAGGAATTATAACTCTCATGATACATGTGTAGTGACATAGAATCGGTCACTTAGCAGCATCGCACTGCTTGCTTGCAGGGAAGGGGATCTGCAGTTTACAGCAGCCCTGACTGACAGCAGGTCACGTGATAGACCAGAGAGGGATGTAGGGGAAAGGTCACGGAAGGGGCACATCGAGAACCCGCTAGTTGGTTCCAAGTGTCAACTGCTAAGGCCGTTAATAAACAGTGCCTCCTACTCTTAGTGTCTCTGAGTCAGTCACTACACATGCATCGAACCTAGATTATAAGAGTTGATTATTTGCAATGGATGTAAACCATGTGTAACGTGTGGATGTTACATTTATGCTCATGGGGCGAATAAGACAATACAAACGGGACTGTACAAATGAAAAACGATGCACGTGTGGCAGTAAAAACAAGAAGAAAAATAACAACCGATTCTTCAAATGGCCCACATCTCTCAAGTAACACAAACCCTAACATGCGTGCAGCAGTGTGCGAGAGCACACGTGAAGCCACTTCCTCTGCCAACGACCCCACAATCATCGCAACAGAGTGAGAGCGCTGAAATCAACACAGGTGGCCCCATCATCGCTCCGTGTAATTGCCATTCATAATTGGCTACGCCCATCGGTAGCTTCAAAATTAAGCACGTTTAGTCCAATTTGTGAGTCAGGGCCAATCCGGTCCAACACACACAGAGCAGTTGCAAAGCCTGCTAATGGGCAGTGATCGCACAGCCAGCACTAAACGCCGTACTCCGCGATATGCCGCTGTCTTTTTGGCAATTTTTTTAAATTGCTCCAAGAATAATGGCTTTACTGGCCTTGAAAGCCCTGACAAAGCATGTCAAGGCAAACAGCATCAAGCGCTACCCCACGAAATAACGACATCACGCACACCCCAACCGCCCGTCGCGTTCTAGCCACACGCGGCAAAGGAACAGATATTGCATCTATTTGGCAAGAAATTGGCGGCCGTGCGCGCATCTAGGGCAGCGGCCCAATGCCAGCTGATGCTGTTCCAATATCTCGCAATCCAATGGCAGATTCATGTAAACGGTTGCCAGTGGATACTCACAAATACTTTTCAGGGCTATGAGGCCACGATGTGTGGAGAATTCTTGCACCCATGCAGCAAAGGCCATAAGCTATCATTTTAAGCGGAGGCAGTATAGAGGCTGGTATCATCATCATTAGCCATGTGAGCTGGTATGTATTCTGGATCACAAGCAAGCATGTAGGCAGGTATTTGGACTTGTGGGTGGAGTGGTGGCATAGTGGTTAGTGCAGAAATCCATAAACCCACGGCAAGTGATATCAGAACCAGTGTTGATCTGCCCCACTTCACCAGGCAGCAGTGACTAGCAAAGTGAAATACGGTCAAACATTCCCCACCATCGACACGGCGTGTGGACACCATCGTCCAACAGTGGGTTGACAAAGGGCTGTGAAACACCATTTTTATGTGGATAGGTAGCAGGCCAACTGAATGTCTAAGAGACAGTTATTTTGCAGCACTGTTGACACCGGTGCATGACGTTTCCTCGATGCCCAGCTGTGTCAGGTCCTGCTCTGCGCATTCCCTTTGTGAAGCACGCGCGCAGTGCCACAACCTCCCCGCCACTCGATCCAACTCGGTTCAGCAATTACTGCAGTGGTGACGAACGCAAGCCTATTTTCAGGCAGGCTAGTTTTCTTTTTTATTAAATTTCTGATAGTGGTGCATCGAGCTATATCTGAGCAAGCAACAGTTGCAATTTCCTTCCCCGGACAAGATTAACTGCACCCACTCTCTTGGTCACAATTTGTACCGGTGACGCGACTCCAAATACCGGCGCATGTGCTCAGACACAGGTGTGCCTGGCTCATCGCTAATACGTGCAGTGTTTTGAAATTATTTCTCCCATTTGTTATGGTACATGGTGATGCCAAATTGGTCTCAATCGCCAATTCAAAGCCTCACAGTGCTTCGCTGCCGGTGTGCGCGGTATTTTCGGGAATTATAGGCCAGGAAAGAACTATGTTCCAGCTGTTCAGAGTGTCAGCCTTCCCAATGACGCGAACCCGAATAACATCAGCCAACCAAACACTATCTTTACCCCTAGCGCTAACCAAACAGACAATCAGACACCAGTCCAAACACCAGGTCATATCATGGGAACAAGAATACCTCACAATTCTAGATAAGTGGCGATAACTACATGTAAATGGAATAACTTGAGTGGTGTGGTTTCAAAATTCTGACAAAACCTGTGCTTTTTCACATCACGTGTGGACTTCCAGATTTCCCAGGACAGCTGCCTCTAAAAAGAGACGATCCTAAGAGGTGGCAACCCTAGCAAGACCCATTTTTCACATTTCGTTCACTTGTCTATTTCAGCGTTCACAGTACAAGATGACAATTCCTGAAGTGTCTCTACTTCACAGCAGATGGCATATTCCTACATCCACAGGGGCTCAGTCATAGGTCCAATCTTGTTCTCACTTTATATAAACAACCTGGGCAAGTCATTATCCCATTCGGACATAAACCTATTTATGGTGGAAATGGCCCTCATAGTCTCCAGTAAATCTCTGGATGATCTCAGCTCCAAATTTCAGCAGAATTTCGACGCCCTTCAACGTTCACCCAGCTGCCCCTAAAGCTCATACTCCACTGTAAGAAAACAACATTGATGGTGTTTTCCAGTAAATATAAACCCATCTCCACCTCATTGCAAATCATGTCCCTAGACTCGCAGCAAATTGAAATAGTTGAATTTTTTTATACTCTAAAATGTATTTTCAAGCACATATTGAATAAGTCGCAAAAATGTGTCAAAAAATAAGAGTGGCTTCCTTAACAGAAGCAAACATTGCATGCAGTCAAGGACACCGCACGCCCCATTTTGTGCGACCGTGATGTCACCTACAGATCAGCCTCGGTCACGGTCCTCAATGCCCGGTCCCCTTGTATCACTCAGCTCTCCGTTCTCCACTGGATGCCCCCGAACTAACGCACCACTGCGACTCGTATTTAAACACCAACTTACCTCCCCTCGACATCCGGAGACAGCTGGGCATCGGTCATCCTCAGTGCTCAAGAGAAAATCGGTGAGTTACCGACGCGAGCGTCTCACCCTCAGCCATCCTCGCACTGCCTTAGAAGCTGCTCTCCCATGCTGCTCAACGTGCCAAGAGTGAAATCACTTTTGGGTTGAAGAACATTTTTTGTTGCTGCTCCCTTTTATTGAAACGAGCTTGCTTCGTGTTTCCAGACAAAATTGCTCCCCCCCCGCCGGCCTAATCGCATTTTATACTTTATTTTAAACACCCACTTACTTGCACGTGTGTCTACCATGCTCTGCCAAACTCAGCATTTTATTTATTTATTGTTCCACATGTTCTGTAAAGTGTTGCCCGTGATTGTATACCTTCAAATGTTGAAGCACCAACCTTATGTTGAACACCGTTATTCATGATTATTGTTCCGTATTATTATATGCTATTAACGAGGTACAATCTCCCCTCAGGTATTATGCACGTATCGCTTGCAAAGCAGCCTGTTACTGAACGTTACTTACCTGCGTCGCCAAATAAAACTGAACGGAACTGAGGGCCTCAGCCTGGCTCCTTGCCTAGCGAGTCCTACCCACCTGGATGAGGCATTGTAGGGGACGCCCGGCGTAGCGGATGCTGCGCTTCCAGTCCTTGCTGCTGGCGCGACCAGACATGGCCTCAAACTCGCTGGGAGTGTACCACATGGTGCCGTGCTTGATGCATTTCCCTCGCCCGCCTGCCAGGACAGGGTGTGAGATCGATACCAAGAGCAGGAGGAGGACGGTGGCTGTTTTAACGGTGATGATGATCAGTGGCGATGTTGTAACAATGTCGCGTCAGACTGTACTTCTTTGCTCCTGCATCTACGCCCCACGCCTTTACCAAATTGTACTATCCTTTGTGGAAATTTAAGACTTCACACTCTTGAAACTTTATTTATATCAGAGCCCCATGGTGTATAGTGCAGTCTCTAACTATCATTCACTCAATTTCTCTGACCCCTCTATCCATCTGTTCCGAACAAGGGCCACTAACCGGAACATCGCCTCTTACAATGGGCAGCATTATTGACGGATGCGGCGCGTTTTTGTTACATACCCATGCGCACCGCTGCGAAGGTAGTCTCGCAAACAACGTTTGTTCACCGTCGAAGTGCGCTCAAAATAACCCCCTTGCCCCACGCGGCACAGGGAGGTCATCCTCATGCAACAGCGGATTGACAGAAAGGGCTGTGGCACGAGCGTGCATCGCAAGTGATTACGGCGATGGTTACCAGAGCCCAGGCGGTTCTTGTAAAGCACGCCGCTGGTGTTGCGGCAGCGCACGGGCAGCTCGTTCTCGTAGGCCGACGTGTCCCAGCTGTACTTGGTGCCGTCCTTCTCGGGCTCGGGGGACAGCGGGGCCGAGGTGGGCTGGGAGCCTGGCGAGACGCAGACCGACGGCCCTCTCAGCGCGGCGCGTGGACCGCGACAAACGGGGACTATTTACGTTCTGCGGTCTGGATTTAAGCGACTAAGATGATTTGTTTTCCATCAATGGCGCCTTGATAACACTTGTGTCTCACAGTAACAACGGCCGAAATTAAACTCCCGACCCGGGCGCCGATCTGTGTTGAGTTTATACGTTCTCTCTTTATTCTGCGTGTGTTCCTCGAGGTTTCCCGGCTTCCTCCCACAGTGAAAACTCACACACATGTGACTTGTGTTGGCCAAACATCACAATGCAAGACCTTCTTTAAAATGAGTCATCAGACTCAATGTGGCTCTCTTGGGGTAAATAGTTATTATAACACACAAAGGAATGGTGCAGGTCCTTCTCGAGCCTAGACTCGAATAAGGGTAGAAAGACGACAAAATGGGTGGCTTGGGAAGGAGCTCAGACTGTATGGGCAGCGGAGGATGTGTGATGATGCGGCGGTGTTAAACTGAAGTCAACTGTCGTTTATTTTACAAGGTAAGGCCCACTGACCTATGTAGCTCTTTTTCAGAAACGACTTGGCTATCACAAATGATAGCCCAACAAAGTGGTTTATCACGTGTAAATTTATAGCAGCCAAATACTCTAAACGCATGTTTATAAATGTGGAGGACCCGGACAAAAATCCACGCGACCATAGGAAGAGAGAGAGAGAGATGTGCAAACTCCAAATATACAGGTGTCAGGGCCGGAATCAAACCGACGACCTCCTGCATACCAGACGAGGTAGTTAACATCTCATAGCCACCGTGGCGAGCTGGAGGTGGGGAACCCACCCGAAACGAGGGCGGCGGTGGGCGGCTTGAGGCTCGTGGTCTCCACCAGGGTGCCGTCCGCGTGCACCACTATCAGCCTCGTCTTCTGCTGGGGCAGCGAGTCTCCGAGCTGCAGGGTGGTGCGGCCGTTCTGCACCCAGACCCGCAAGCGCAGATCAACACAGGCCTCCTCAGGGCTCCGACTATTTGTTTCTTTAATTTAGTTATATTTAACATTTCACAAACCTCTCCCCTCAATTTTATCCTGGTCGGCGTCAAGTCACGATCTCTCGCAGAGCTATGGAATCCGCAGTGGCATAGAACGGCCCACGGAAGCAGATATCACAGAGCTACCGCTGGGGGAAGCACTTTTCCAGGCACTCGGCCACCGAGAGGAATGTTCAATGCATGGCAGTCTAAGTGATATTTTAAATTCTCAAGAGCTAGAATTTAGTCCATCTAATTCCAGAGCCAAAGTTTGCACGATGTTTTGTTCAGTGCATTAGTCACTGATGACTGGGCCGTGACAATCAACTCACTGCACTTGGAAACTCGGTTTAGTCACAGGTTGCTGGAACCTGGATTTTGATCCCGGATCTCAGCACTAGCAGTTCAGCGCTGACCCGATTAGCATGGCTGGCTACGTACAGTGCAAAAGAAGTTCAACATACATACATACACACACACCCCGACACGCCATACATCCGCTGTGCGGCCGTCCGTGAGCACGTGGGGCTATCGTTGGAAGGCACGAATTTCATCACGGAGTTTCATCCGGACAGGTTTGAATTCCCACATCTAATTTTTTGTTGTTGGTTTTACCGACTAACCCGTTGGCTCCACCGCTCGCGCGATTGGCACCGCCACGATAGCGCAGAGATAGTGCCGAGGGCTCGCGCTCCCCGGGAGGGAGGGAGGGAGGCGTGACGAGTGCTCGGTGGGTGGCGGCGTGCGATGATTGTAGCGATAGATTTTCCGCATTGATTTTACCGGTGGGGGAGGGGGGGGCAGTGGGGACTTTGGATGTGAACAAAGTGACAATTTCTGCACGAGTTAAGCATGAGGTAAATAAATAAATAAATACCCCGCACGAGTCGTGTAAAAATAATAATTAATCACTACGCTGAAGCTAATTGCATTTAAAGTGCCTAATGGCTGACGAAGAGGACATTCGTTCACTTACTCCAGATGATATATTTAAATTCATCAGCGTTTTTAAAATGCCACCGACGGCTGAAGGTCTACTGCAAATGGCAGTGGCCTTGCGGTTATGGAGAGGGCATTCAGGAACACAATTAACAAGCGGAGCAATGAAGGCCACATCAAATAAAATACGCTCGGGCAATTGATGAAGTGAACAGATAAAAGCTGACCCGCCAATTGTTTTGTACTCAAAGAGTCGGAACCTCGCCTTCAAGTCTCTTTACAGGCGCGGAGTGTTACTGAAAGGTGGGCGTAAGTGATGAGGTTGATTTGTATTCGGAATCCTGTTACTGCCCACACACTTTGAGGTTTGCTCACTTCTCTGCAGAGGAGATTCGCTACAGATGAGATTCGCTACGTCCTCCCTGCAGTTTTGGTTGGGACTGCTGATTGAACCCTGAAGGTGATCTGATTAATTCTCCCGTGGCCCCATCCACTGAGCCTCATGACTGCAAGTTCTGTGACATTGTAAATCTGCCACCTGCTGAACAATGACGAAACGAATATTTGGATTTGTATCAAACAAAACGGGGAGTGGAGCGGCGATGCAGTGGTTAGCGTCTTGTGCTATATTCCCGCACACCTCAATCTGATTTCCGGCGACGGCAAACGTCAGTGGTGAGTGACATCTGAACCGGTTTCTGGGTGCCCCCTTCACCAACCCGCACCAACCAGCGTGGTGAAGTATGGTCAAACAACCCCATAGCTGACACAGCACGGAGAGGCCTTCAAAAATGCGTGATTTAACGAAGGGTGATGCATATTTTGTATTATTTTGTCTGTAATTAAATATAAATTAGCTACACACCACGTGCACGTTAAACAAATACAACAAATGGTTTATTCAAGTGGAGGCCGTGTCATAGAACATTGCGTGGGTACCTTCATATGTATTCCGACCGCACACATTTTAACTGACACATTTTAACTGGCTCTTTACTAATTACACGCATACGCAACATCCGACATGCAGTAACCTCTCCGTGGCATTTCTAGGCCCCACCAACATGGATTCTGTTAAAGCGCACTTAAAGTGGAATGTTACGGTAATGTCGCGTCAGCCTGATGGCACGCCAGAGGCCATATAGACGTTGAACGGCTCGCATCAGTCAATTGGTTTCCGAGATACGGTGCGCTCTCATAATGCATGGAACTTTGAATTTATACAGCATCTAAATGCAACCGCATCTCAAGAAGCTGCATACGGACAAATACTGCCACTAAATGAGATTGAGTGGAAGAGGAGGGATATTATTTTTGAGGTGAAGAGGAAATTTTGATTTAAAGCTTTCGTGACTGCAGTAATTCATATTCTTAGTTTTTTCGGTAAAGTCACGTTGAAGAGAAACAACAAAATAACAAAATATATATAAAACAATAAAAACATTCTCACGACGTTTCGACCATAACTCAAACGGTCATCATCAGGTGTGTTGGTTTGCATAAATTTATTTTGAAAACGGCATGTTTATTTATTTATTTATATAAAAATAACGTTTGCGTCACGCGCAACGATGGCAGTTTGCCAGGACTAGTCCATCTATTTTTTGAAAAGAGGAGGGGGGAGACGAAATTTGTTTTTATGTATGCTGTCTGAAAGGCACTGTAAGCGTGAACAATCAATCAAGAACTGAAATGATTTATCAAATCTTTCCAATGATTGCTAAGATAGAATCCATCTTCTCGGTTGAAATTGTCTCTGTGTTTGTATATGTGGATAGCCTCATGAACGAATCTCTCATGGAAGCCAGATGGCTTACAAAGAACCTCCGTCTTGGAAAAGTCAATGGCATGTGAGCCTACTGAATTAGAACAATGATCTGCTACGGCCGAGGTGTTGGTCCTACCGTGTTTAAGGTCTGCTTTATGTTCACGAATGCGGTCCGAGATATGGCGTTTGGTTTCTCCAATGTAACTACTACCACAGAGGCAACTTAGTTTGTAGACACCAGGGTATTGTATGTCCGGAATCACATCTTTTACAGATGGAACCAGATCACGGATTTTATGTAATGTGTTGAAACGGACCTGGATCTTGTGTTTATTCAAGATTTTGGAGATCTTTTTTGTGATCCCAGCAATGTAGGGTAAAGTGATGGTTTTGAAAGGCTCCTCAAGAGGGTTCTTCTTCATGGTTTGAGTGATAGCTTTGCGGATTGTATAGTCGGAGTAACCATTAGCCCTAAGAGCTTGGTGTACGTGCTTGAGTTCACTGCTTATGTGTTCCTGGTCGGATATGCATTGGGCTCTATGATACAGAGTCTTGATGAGAGAATTCTTCTGTGATGGATGGTGGTGGGAATCCGGTTTCAGATAAGCATCCGTATGGGTAGCTTTCCTGTAGACAGAGTGGCTCATTGAACCATCAGGTCTCTTTTTAATTAGGACATCCAAAAGAGACCTGATGGTTCAATGAGCCACTCTGTCTACAGGAAAGCTACCCATACGGATGCTTATCTGAAACCGGATTCCCACCACCATCCATCACAGAAGAATTCTCTCATCAAGACTCTGTATCATAGAGCCCAATGCATATCCGACCAGGAACACATAAGCAGTGAACTCAAGCACGTACACCAAGCTCTTAGGGCTAATGGTTACTCCGACTATACAATCCGCAAAGCTATCACTCAAACCATGAAGAAGAACCCTCTTGAGGAGCCTTTCAAAACCATCACTTTACCCTACATTGCTGGGATCACAAAAAAGATCTCCAAAATCTTGAATAAACACAAGATCCAGGTCCGTTTCAACACATTACATAAAATCCGTGATCTGGTTCCGTCTGTAAAAGATGTGATTCCGGACATACAATACCCTGGTGTCTACAAACTAAGTTGCCTCTGTGGTAGTAGTTACATTGGAGAAACCAAACGCCATATCTCGGACCGCATTCGTGAACATAAAGCAGACCTTAAACACGGTAGGACCAACACCTCGGCCGTAGCAGATCATTGTTCTAATTCAGTAGGCTCACATGCCATTGACTTTTCCAAGACGGAGGTTCTTTGTAAGCCATCTGGCTTCCATGAGAGATTCGTTCATGAGGCTATCCACATATACAAACACAGAGACAATTTCAACCGAGAAGATGGATTCTATCTTAGCAATCATTGGAAAGATTTGATAAATCATTTCAGTTCTTGATTGATTGTTCACGCTTACAGTGCCTTTCAGACAGCATACATAAAAACAAATTTCGTCTCCCCCCTCCTCTTTTCAAAAAATAGATGGACTAGTCCTGGCAAACTGCCATCGTTGCGCGTGACGCAAACGTTATTTTTATATATATAAATAAATAAACATGCCGTTTTCAAAATAAATTTATGCAAACCGACACACCTGATGATGACCGTTTGAGTTATGGTCGAAACGTCGTGAGAATTTTTTATTGTTTTATATATATTTTGTTATTTTGTTGTTTCTCTTCAACGTGACTTTACCGAAAAAACTAAGAATGTGAAGAGGAAAGTTAAGTAGGGAGCATGGCACTGAGGAAAATGAATTATGTAATAAGACAAGAGGACCATCGTAATCGGTGCTGCATAGGCCGAAGAGAAGTGGAAGTCTTAAATCCTGGATTCGAGCATGGGGATGTAGGCGGCCATGTGGATGGCCAGAGCAAGGGAGATGTGGCCATTGTTTGACCATAATCACGGTGGTTAATGCGGACTTACCAAGGCGGGTAGCCTACAACACCTGTTTTAGATCTATACCCGTGGCCCATTCCAAGCACCGTCAAGCCCCAAACCCTGCCTGGCTCTCGAGCTCTAAGAAGATGCGTCGAATTCAGGGCTTTTTTACTCATAAGCTACCATTGCCATTACATTAACATCCTTTACAGACTCCGACCTTCAAACCGTGCACTTCAAAACACAATGGACGTTGCTGTGTATTTGTATTCCACGTGTGTATTTATACGGGTCTCTGCCATAATAATTTGGTCACCCACATAAATGTATAGGACAGCAATTTTCATATTGATGGTGTTATCACTCAGATCGCGCACGTCTGGATGGCCAGATAACCAGCGGGCGCAATCACCGCGCCGAAAAAAAGGCAGCGCTCGTGATATTCTCACTCTTTACCCGAAGACATGCCATGGGACGTTCCGAGTGTGGACCCGAGTTAACCACAGATAGACATCGTGGCATTTCTCGTGCATATGTGGCCAACAATCATCGCGAAGTTCACACAGGAAAATGCCACTGCTGCGACAAAGCGATCTGGAGGGCCTTCCGCTGCAGGTCCACATGCACCTTCGAAATGTTACTTGTTAACATCACCCATGCAATGCCTTTGAGCCTACAAATGCTATAATGTCATGTCCACCGACTTGGCTACAAGGAGTGTGTCTCAAGCAGGGAATTCTTTATTGATGATACAAATTAACAGTTTAAAAATGTTTGGTCATAGGACACGGTCTGTCGAGACCCTTCAATACTATAAGCTGGTACTCTTCTCTGATGAGTCCAGGTTTCAGTACTTCACGCAAGGAGCTTGCAACTGGGTGTGAAGACCAAACGAGTACCTCCAACCCCAATGTATTGCACCCACGGTCAAGTATGGAGGTGTGAGTTTCATGCAATAGACCACGGATTTGGAGTGGCACAAAAAGCCTGTTACATAAATCCTATCGTGCACATGTGGGAACATCTGGATCGGGGATTAATTTCCACACCTCGAACATCACATCCGGAACACCTCTCGCTTATTGCTGTGGCTACTACTAGTCATGTGCCTACCCCAGTATTACCAGCCACCTACAAAATATTCAGTGAGAAATGAATCCCTGATGTGGACCATGAGCAGAGTACTGTAATGTGCCAAGCGCCATGGAAATGTTTAGTGGTTAAAGGTGACGCTGACGCGTACAGGAGGGGAACCTGTCTCCCGTCCACTCGTTGATTCAATACCAAACAGGGCAGAGGCCCTTGCTTGGTGTAGCATGGGGTGGCCTGACCAAACGTCGATATAATACAGGAATCGTTTCGGTTTGTATGTGTTAGTTTCTAGACCACAATAACATCTTGTCGTTTATGTGGGTGGCCAAATTTTATTACAGCACGGACATGAAGTATTGGGTGTCGTCAGTGGTCAAGCAGCTATAATTATGGTTAACAGATTTTTCTCAATGTATTTCCGAGATCCCGCATGAGAAGCAAGCAAAGTGCTGGTTTGCTGCACATATACAAACGTTTATCAACAAACACAACCTATTTACCTTTTATAACTCCATTCCACCTCCTGGTGCGTCAGATGAATATTTGGGACACATTTTCTTAAATTCGTCCCCTCGCCTCCGCCTATGTCTGCCCAGCAATGTAGATAAGTACACCGCAGTGAGTCTACGATTGGCAGGTCGCGTGTGGTGGGGTAAAGTGTGGGTACACCCACCTATTCCAAGATGTCTAGTCTGTGTGGAAGAGTAGACCAAATATCCTGCCGAGTGGACGCTCTTCGATCAAATGCAGTGACCAAGGCCGCCATGCCGTTTGCACGTTCGTGCAGGCCAATTGGCGCGTTTGTGACTCAAATTCCACTGCGTTCGGTTGCTGGTACCTTATTGGCACCAGGTAACCAATTCTAAAACCGGTTAGTGGTTCTTGTTTAACAACACGAGCTAAAATGTCAGTCAAGTATCCCCACGTTGCACACCAACTCTTGACCCAGCGGTAAGAGTAAGTCATGCTGCAGCAAGTCAATTGGCGTAACGTACGTGTCGTGGTGAGGCAAAGCGTAATGCCAAACACTGCATTCTGTCCTGGGCATTCTGGCCAGCGCGATAGCACGCGACTGTGCGTTGGCGCTTTCCCTTTTTAAATTACATTCCGTTACACACCCAGCGCACACAAACACACTTAAATGCCTTTACAAAGGTCAAACGTGTAAGCACGCTCCCTATTGTCGCCAGAAAGTCCATGCGCTGCAGTTTCTACCCCCATTAGTCCGAGCAGCTGAGGGCACCCACCACAAGCTGCTCACAGTGCAGCACGGCCGTTTACAGCCAGCGCCGCTTTGTCATCAACGTCCATTAGGGTCGCAGGGGGAAAGTGACATCGGCAATAACTTGGAATGAACTGCTGTGCACGCGGCGTTAAAGCAAGTAACTTGTGGGTGTATACGGCGCCGTTGCTGCTGCGTGTGACCAGCGGCCACAGCATCAGATTAACCTGCTGACCTTGCCTGCTGACCCACTGAACCCCAACCTGAGCATTGCAGAGTTACATTTTCTGCATATCAGTCTTGTTTAAATTTTAAAGAGCAATGCATTTGTCAAGTATGTGTTCCAATTAACTAAAAGGTCATTAATGCAGTGGCGACACAAGAACAATTAAGTAATCACTTTTCATTATACCCTCGCTGCATTCTCTTAAATAGAACATTGTTAGCGTTCTTGACGATAATTCGAGAGCCATTTCTGATTATGAAAACGAAGCACTTGATTCATTGAAAATGTATTTTAAACAGGATGCACCACATAACATTCAAAAATGGAAGCCGAACAGGATACATTTTTACTTATTTTTTCCAGAAATTGTAAAGTCTCTTTCCATATAATCAGCATCAGTCTCCCTGTCTCCCGATTTCTGTCTATCTCTCTGTCTCCATGTCTGTGAATGTTCCTCTGCCCTTCTGTCTTCCCCTGTCTCTCTCTCTCTTTGTGTCTCACTGTATATATTTCTGTTTCACCCTGTGTCTCTCTCTCCTTTTGTCCTATCTCACTCTGTTTCCCTCTGTCACTCCTTCTGCCTCACCGTTTGTGAAAACCACACGCAGAAGCAAAGAGTGGCGGCCACTTAAATAAGATAATTTGGGAACACACGGATTAGATAGGCATTGTAGCGACATCGTATTGACTGTTACGTAAAGTAAGTGGAGCGCGCCTGAGAAGTCGTCCCCTGCAGAGACTGAGTGATGAAATGAGCTCACGTACCAGGAGCCAGAAGGATTGTTGTGGGTGCTGGCTTGGAGAGACCACCATCCAGCAGCAGATAGATTATGGATGATGATAATTATGATATACTATACAAGCATGTAACTACTGCATGTCAAATGTATTGTTTGGGAGACAAATTTCCGTATCGTATACAAGTGCCCAACGTGTCTGTATTTCTATTACTATTCACCATTGTTCAGCAAATATACAAACTGCAAGTCAAAAATACACTATATTCCCGTGGCGTTGATGCTTGAGGCTATGAAATAAGTTTTAACAATCTCGTATTAAATTTAGTTAAAGTCCGCGACATGACCTGCTGCATTCTATCGTTGTATACCCCAGCTCACCAAGGCCTGCGACTATCAAGCGCCAGGGTAAAACGTGCACTGCGTTGCGGTTCGCGTAATCATGTGCCGAGTTTCATTACACGGTACGCTAATACCCAACTTTTGTTCCTGAAAGGTGCTCGTCAATGGAGGTAAATTAATAATCAAGCGCTGTGGTGGCGTGCTTGACGGAACCTTGAATGCTCTTTTTTCCCTCATTAACAAAAATATAGTTTGTGTAGGACATCCCATTTATTGACAACGGGGACCAAACATGGACGCGCCGAACATGTACGCGTCATTGATGCCGAAGTGGGGCGTGGGTCAGCGCTGACGTAAATAGTTTAATACCCACCAGGATGTGGTCAGACACCGCCGACACGGCCGAAGTGAAGACGTGGTCCGAAGGCATAGCCACATTGGCCACGCTCACCGAGCCCTCTGTGCAAGCGGGATAAAGCAGTGCCCGTTAGCGCGACAACTTCGTAAGCTTCCCGCATGGTGGCAATGTCATGATGTATCGTGCGACGAACTGTAAGAAGCATGATAATCGCATCGCCCATTATCCAAAATATCGTTACAATCCAATTAATTCTGGTCGTTCTATTTGTATGAGATATTTTATCACACCTGTCAACCCCTTATCAGTGCCTACCTTATTACAGAACAATTCAGACCTTATTGGTCACCCTGTGCCCTTAAAAATCTCAACGTTCATCCTACAAAAGGAGAAACAGAAACAAATACACGCATTGTTTTTTTGCATGTATTGAAATGGCTATATGCCATAAGGACGTGAAAACTCAATTTCCCTGTACGAGAAAAGGGCTAAACCGTATGGGTTGACTGGAATGTTTAATTTCCTGACATAATATTTTTGAAACAACAAACTCGAGAATTCAAGTTGAATATAAATGATTCAAATATGAATTACATTAGTTATTTGCTCACATTTTTTTGGAATCATTTATGGCATTGAAATTATACAATGTGATCATTTTTGTAGCTTATTTATTTATTAAATAACTTTTGTGCAGCTGACAGAATATGCATTATTGATTGTAATGTTGAAATGATCAGATGACCTATTGAAGGCTCTTCTTGAGTGAACTGCAGTTGAAGATGTTTTCAAGTAATCTTTATTTGTACAAAAAGTACAGCAAAGCACACAAACCTAAATTAACACAATATCACTATAATCATCATGTCATTAAATCCATATCACTTATTACCAAAAAATAATATGACAGCAACCCTTCAACGTCATAATAATAAATGGGAACCAGCACTGGCCTCTCTGGTTCTTTCGGTAAAGTCACGTAGGTATAATTTTTTAATTATTTTCTTTTTTCTTTTATACCTTATACCTATATGACTTTACCGAAAGAACCAGAGAGTATGGATTTCCTGCAGTCACAAAAGCTTCAAATATAGATTCAGCACTGGCCTGTTTTCAGGTTTGTGTTACCTTTGTTGGAATTACCCCTCACCCGCAGAGTAGCCAAAACTATCCGCCCTTTGTCAATCTACTGCAGGGTGAAGCCCTCCCCATACTGTGGGTCACGGGTTTTGTGCTATGTACTTCATCTCGCTGGTCAGAGCTGTTTGGTGAAGGGGACACTCAGGACAGGTTCAGATATCGCGTGCCACTGATATTATTCACAATCATGAATAAAACTGTGATAGGCAGGTTAGGATCCATTATAGCCATAACCCATTTTTTTATTTTGAATAATACATGGTCTGAAGTAAAAATACAATGGCCATGCTATAAGGGTTTTAACCCGCCTTGTCATAACTGTCTTATAGTACACATTCATGGTTCTTCCGGTAGTTTTGGATGCCACCTGCTGACGACATAAATGTAGCCCACCTTAACGCTCAACAACGACAGTCGAGAGCAATCTTCCCAGTATCTCCCACCTCGAATCCCCTTTCGTCCCACTTTTAAGCGTGGCCACCTCGGTACAAAGGTGTAATTTCTCAGGCATAGAAGCGTCAGCAAACAGTGGCATTTCATATTCTTGGTTCTTTCGGTAAAGTCAAGTAGAAAGAAAATAAAAGAAAAAAATAATAAAATCATTTAAAATATATATTTGCTTTTATTAATTTCAATTTATTAATTGTATTTTTAATTACATAAATTACTTTTTTATTTTCTATCTACATAACTTTACCGAAAGAACCAAGGATATTAATTCCTTCAGTCACGAAAGTTTTAAGTCAAAATTCAGTGGCATTTCATAACAGACACATGACAGTAGGTTGTGGTTAAACATATACACTGGAGGTGCAGCGATGGCAGAGTGCAGCAAAATAATTTATATTGCTGTAATTGTATACTCTCCGCCTTCACCAAACCATACTGACCAGTAGCATTGCTTAGTTCCGTTGTGGTCAAACACCCCCCACGACGCTCAACATGAGACTTTCATCCAGCAATGGACAAGTACAATTACTGTAACATCAAGGATAAATCTCTCAAAACGTCTTTCAACGCCAGCCCATCACAGTCCCCCCGTATTGCTGGGGGACATTATTACGGCTCTGGAGAACACAAATTATATCATCCGAATTCACCTTTTAAACTGTTTGCACCCATGTTAACGGTGTTGCTTAAGTCACTGCAGTTCAACTAGTTAGCCTGTGGCCACGTCTGGCAGTATTGCAAGTATGCTGCCTGCTGCTTACAGAGACCCACCCCTTTCTCTATAGGCCCGCATTCCTGAATCAAAATTATATTATATACCTGTCCCAGAGTTATGGAACCTGTTATCATTAAGGGTTGTTTTAATCTGTTATTGTGGAATGCTTTGATGTTGTCTGCTGGCCGAGTCACCCTTGAAAATGAGATTCTTAGCTCAATGGGCTTTACTCTGGAAAAACATTTCTGAAATTGAGACCACATACAGCCAGCCTCTTCCTCAAAAGGCTCTGCACCTTTCCTTTTTAGGCCCCGCCCTCTTCTGTTTTAGGCCCCGCCCCTAATGCTGTGCCCCGCCATTATTATTTAGTCCCCGCCTCTTTCAGGGTACAGTGATGGGGGTCGTGGAAGCCTGACGACTGCGCTTTGCAACTAAGAATAGATTTATCATTGGCGTTTACTTATCCTTCTTCAACGCCTTCCACCGTCTATACAACCTCGCGCAGTTGAGGCGCGCTCAATCGGGTAACTTCATGTCATTGGGAAAGGTAAAAGGGGCTAATGATAATTTAAAATAAAATTATTTGGTGATGTTGCTGCGTTGGTAGTGGTGCACAAGCAGATGAAACAAAAACGCAACACATTCGTCAACAACACCGTGTGCGTGTGGCCTTAAGGGCCGCCCATAAATGACGTCACGCGATTGTGGCCAATTTTTTACCCCTCCCCCCCTCGTCACACGGCGTCACAAAAAGTCAGACCCCCTCAAACATGACGTCACAAAGCTCTGCCCCCCCCCCCCCCAAAACCATATTTCCATTTTGAAAATAAAACATGCTTCAAATCACTTTAAGCTATTGTCATTGTAGTGCGTATTTAATGTGGCGCTGCACTGTGATGTAGGAGAAAACACGTACTAAAAAGGCGTTGGAAAGCTGAAATTTAGCATAAAATTCACTTGAAAATATTTAACGTCAAACTAAAACTGAAGATGTTCAGAATATTATTGAAATTCTCTTATAAAAATTGTACAGTAATTATAACTATAAAAACATACTTGAAACTTTGTAGTAGAACGAAGCAAAACGGAGAGTACAATTATAACAATCACATATTCATTCCACAGAATGAAAAGCCCTGGTAGAATAACTAAAATGTTTAATAACAATCATTCAAAAATGTTACAAAATTTATGGTTCTCCATTCTCCCATGAAGAAGCAAAATGCTCCTTCATGGAATAAATAAAAGGTGACCTTATTAAATTCAAATAATAAAATAGTTAATAATGAAAATTAATCAAACTTAGTGTTATAACAATTATATTGTTTATATGTATTTAAAGTTGCGCATTTTGATGTGACGTCACATTTCTCAACCTCCCTCCCTCACATCGTCACAAATGTCTGACCCCCCTCCCCCCCTAGGTGTGTGACGTCATTTATGGACGGCCCCTTACAAGGAAAAAAAATAGAAGGTACAGAAGAAAACTACTGGACTTGTCAGAATGCTGAGCTGCGATAACTCATCCTTCAAAACTCCCTGCAGTTACATTTATGGCACTTGTCACTGTGAACCCCTCCCCCTCCTTCCAGAACCCCCTCCCCTCCCCCACGTCTCCCTCCACCTCGTCTCCCTCCCTTTGTCTCCCTCCCCCACGTCTCCCTCCCCCACGTCTCCCTCCCCCTCGTCTCCCTCCCCCACGTCTCTTACCCCCCCCTCTCGTCTCCCTTCGTCTCCCTCCCCCACGTCTCCCTCCCCCTCGTCTCCCTCCCCCACGTCTCTTACCCCCCTCGTCTCCCTTCGTCTCCCTCCCACACGTCTCCCTCCACCTCGTCTCCCTCCCCCTCGTCTCCCTCCCCCACGTCTCTTACCCCCCCTCGTCTCCCTCCCCCTCGTTCCCCACCTTTCCGTCCAACCCTCCCACCTGGGAAATGCGCCGAGTGCGCATGCGCGTGCTCGTCCGCCATGACGCCGCCATCGCCATCTCCGTCCGAGTCCATGGGCGCTGGATTCGCCGAACCCTTGACGGCCGCAAAAAATTACCCGCGCCGCCGGATTATTTCTTCTCGTGGCACGCGGCGACCCTCGCTGCGATTCGCGTCGCGAAAAAAAATCCCTCTCGAGAATTTGCGAGGGGCTTCGGCATTCATCGGCGCGGCGCCCGAAGCGCGGCGGACGCGCCCGAACAGAGTCGAAGCGCGTCCGGGCTGGTGACGTCACGCCGCGCGGTGTGACGTCACCCGTTCGCGCCAAAACGCGAGGCGCGCGCCAGGGGGCGCTGTTGCCATAGGGAACGCGTAGGAGGGGGGCGGGGGAAGCCCCTCCCCCCCACGCTAAAGAACCCCCGTGTAGCCTTGACAGACTGCTGGGGCAAGTGCTGTTAGCGAGCAGCAGCAGCAGCACCTATGAAGGCCGGCACGACACTCGAGGGGGTGGGTGGCCAGCACCACGCCCGGCCGCCTTTGTCTCCCTAGTGGCGATGTTTACACACCGAAGCAAGGTACTCATTTGAGGTTGAATCGGCCTAGGGGAGGTCCAGGACCGCCACTATTATTGGTCGTGGGCGGGTATCGAACTCGGGTCGCCGGGTTCGTAGCGCAGTGCGCTGACCATTGCGCCACCGCTCCCCACCCCCGCTCCCTCCACACTCAGGGGCATCACGCTGCGTTCTCATTACATTGAGTATATGAGAGGTTATTGCACTGTTATAATGAATTAAAATCGTATTTCTCATTCATCATCATGCAGGTGACATTTCTTTATGCTAGCGCAGCCTGAAACACGGTCCGCAAATTAAATTATGGACGTTTAAATGTGAGCACACAATACCTAAAGTCATAATTTCCCTTGTTTTCCAATGAATAGTGAGGGGAAACTGAGGCACATTTTTGTTTCACCTTTAAGCAAATTGGCCCATGGTCCTGAACATGATATTTATTAATTAGATACAGAATATTCCTTTGTGTGTGTGTTTTTAACCGCGTAATTGATTTTCCAACCCTTTACCCAACACGTTGGAATAGAAATGCAAACTGGAAAATCAGTGAGGACCGTTTCTGCTGATTTTACTGCATGGGTTCACGACCCTGTGAGACGGTGCAATTATGAAAGTTAACTTTTTTAAACAATACATTATATTTGGACTCGCAATAAGGTACAGGGTTGAACAAGAAGCCATTATGCGTCGTGTTTCTAGTATGAAGCTGTGGTGCAGTGGTTACCTGACTGCTCTGAAATCGGTCACACGAGTTGGATTCCAGGCCACATAACAGTGAAGCGTGATATCTGAACTGGCCCTGGCTTTCCCTGTCCCCATCACCATTGTCCACCATGGTGGGGGAGTCAAAGAACCCCCATGATCGACACTTGTGGATCCCTTCACCAAAAATTCAATTGACGAGGGGCTATAAATTACAGTTTTTATTTCAGCTCACAACATTTGGACCTTCAACCCAAGGAAGACAATCCTGATCCTGGCTCCTCCATCAGCTGCCTAACGCCTATGGTCGACAGTAATGGCTGGCAATTTCGATCTGGCTGCTGGATGTAGCGTACGAATACTTTGTCATCAGGGGACAGGGTATTTCCCTCATGTGTGCACAAGGCATCCTCTCCAGAGACACCCAGCGCCTACCCGCTCAAACTCCCCTATCCCTTGATAACGGAGCCAAAACAAACATGAGGAATTTGGAGTTGAAATTAAAGGCAAATATGATGGCGGTGCAATATTTTTTTCAGAATGCAAGAGGGTCAATTGACCCTTTCCTCTGAACACCGCTGTCCACCCATTGCATCGCCTTCCTCCAACAAGCCGCCACGTGGTAAAACATATCTCACAAGTACATCCCTTTTCCCCATCCCCTGGGATTCCTAAGTGTTGACTTTAATGTTGTAAAGTTATGTTGTAACATTCCAGAATACATCAGGTCGATCTAAGAAATACATTAGGGACTCTACTCAAGTGCATGGATCTCTCGCTTGTACACTGCAACCAAATCAACCTGAACGTGCTCAATCTGGTTGGACCTCGGCAGCTCAGCAGGTTGGAACCTGGTGAGTTCTTGGATGGGTGACCACCAGGACTCGCCAGGCGTTATAGGCGTCGGGCTATAGGGTTGGCAATGTTGAATCGCCCATTCGTGGAGATTTTCTCAAGATAATGCACTTTGGTTTCCTTTCGCATTTCAAACATTTATGAATTTGGCCAAATATTTAAACACAGTATCCTCCAAAACTTGAGTCGTACTACACTCAGTGCAGCTTTTATTGGTAAATAATCGACATTTTATTATTTGGTATTATTACTATGTAGGTTCAGGAATAAGGTTGTGGTTAATCTGTAGCAACATACGAGATGGTGTTAACACGTTGAGGATATTTCCCTGCGACTACAATGAAAATGAATCTACATTGCCGTGGGTGGTTTGACTCAGTGATTCCAGCACTCACTGATGAACTTAAGTAACTCGCTCACCGGCGGTCAGTTAACACCGTATCACTTTTATATCGTTATTACCATGGTTTACTCTTCCCATGAACTTCTCTCCTTGATTTGTCCTCCCATATTGAGAACTCTATACCAGACTCACTGTTTTGTCATCCACACTCACTCAACCACCGCACTGCAGGTCACAAAACCTGTATTTCTGCCTCTTTCCTCGCACTGTTCCACCTTGGAATTATCCTCCAGTTGTAAAAAAAAATTCCCCGAAGCTCCTATGAGCTTTCTAAATTTTTTATCAAAGTATTAAAACGCTCTTCTATATCACTGCGATCGTGCTCGTTGTTATTAGCCACTTCACATTTTAGGCCTGTGCTCAGAAACGTAAGAAAGCCGTGACAGACAGCAAGCAAAAGTCATTGGGCAATGGAAGCCCGTGATCAGATGCATAAAAAAACACGACGTAAAATGTTCCCTTATTTTATATCTATTTAGATAGAAGAGGAAGGGAATGTATATATATTTTTATGTACAACCGATCAGTGGCACTGAAAAAAGCAGACCTGGAGCTGTCAACAAAATGTTAGAATGCCGGGCTGATGCAGAAGGGGTCAGCTCTAGCAAGGGCATCGATTTAGCCGTGGGCAAGGTTTTATATGTGTGTGCACTCGATGACCAAATCATTTGCAATGCGCCCGATCTCGTCAGATCTCAGACGCTAAGCAGCTATGAGCCTCGACAGTGATTGCGTGGGTGATCACTTCACACAGAGCCGGCTGGTAGGAGAATGCAGTGCAGTAAAATCCATTGGGGTGCTGTACTTCTGTGCTCCCTGCCTTCTCAATCCCGAAAATATGGTAAAATAATAAACTCAACTATTTTTTATTTTACCAGGTAAGGCCCACTGAGCTCTTTAGCTCTTTTTCAGAAATGATCTGGCCACAAATGATATATCAACGAAGTGGCTTATCATGTGGACATGTATAGCAGCCAAACACTCTAACGCATGTTTCTCAACGTAAAGGGAAAATCGGAGGATCCGGAACAAAATCCATACGCCCACGTGGAAAAGCTATGCAAACTCTAAATATAGAGGCATCAAGGTTGGAATCGAACCCAATGCCTGTATACTAGGCGAGGCAAAAAACATCTCACCACCGGGGCACCTGAATCACCATGACCCCTATGGCTTTGGGAGACCCTTATCCAACAGTGGATGGACAAAAGGGCTGCACATGTATGTGTGTGCCCAATGTTACATTGGCGGTTGCTGAATGGCTGGCCTTGCCAGGAGCTTTTTGCTTGTAACAGTACTGATGCAACAGTTTGCAGAGATTCAGCAGAATCCCACGACCTACCGCCTCTGGCTGTGAGGAGTTGTTATCAAAGCTGAGTGTTCGATAGAAGTGGAAGCCACCAGCACAAATCGCTGTGTGTGTCATGGCCCACATCCGTTAAATTTAAGGATTTATCCCAGGGTTTCTAAAATTGGGCTGTGGCAAAAAAATGTACTAAAGCGGTTCTTTCTTCGTTTGCCAGGATACAAAGCCCTTGTTGCCGTGCTAATAAACACGACTGAAACTGAACAGAGGAGCGTGTATGAAGTTGCCGCTTCATTGGTATGAAGGTGGACTTATATAATATCTAAATATATAACAAGTTAATAAAAAAGGGTATTTTTAGACAAAGGAGAAAACACGGCCAAGAGTCTGACCACCGAGAAGATGGAGCGATGAGATGAGTCCTCTGCAGGAGTGAGACTGTCATCGCAGTATGGTGAAGGATGGTAATGCCGTGATTAAAATCGTGACGATTTCCCATGATCATCAGGCATTAATAAAACAATGTTAAAGAAATGGCTCCTCAATCTGCCGCCATCTCTTACGATCCTGTGATGCAACGATCTCCACTTCCTGCACGCGGAGCTGATTTCATTTCTCCATCTTCTTGTTGGACACCACCGCGGATGCGTTACATGTATTGGCTGCCATTCCATTATTATTAGGAAGCCACTGGAGCTATGCACTTCGAAATCTATATTGAAAACTAATTTCTTTATAACTGCTGTTTGTGTTCAGTTTGTCCTTTCTCCACACCTCCGATTAGCGCGGTTGGCTACGTACAGCGCAAAATAAGTTCAACACGCATACATTATTCTTGCCCATATTTCCTTCTAGCGGCGCGTCCTGCCCAAGCCCACTTAAACTTTTCTTAGCAGTGTTGCACGATGTCCCTGACCTGCGTATGCTCTCGTCTCTAATTCGTGCGTCGCTCTTTCTGACGATGTGCACGCGTTGAACGAATTAATGAATCCATCAATCAATGCCCCTTCAAGTTTTCTGGTCACCCACCGCCCGTCAAGCCCGCCCGCCCGCCGGTCGCTGGTGCGTGGGCGCGCATCTGCGGGAGCCGTGCCGCCATAAATCACCCATTAGCCAGGCCCCATCGACACAAACGCCATTACCACGAGCGGTGGCGGCGGCGGAGGAGGTAGAGGCTACTAACACCCTCCCCGCCGCCCACCCTTGCATGCGTTATCAGCCTTGCATCGAAACAATCTCTCACGCCTCTCCCGTATCCCCTGCACCAATCGCGCGGCCTCAACTTTTCGCCTTTCAGACAAAAGGATCGGGGACGCAGCTGAGGTGATAGAGACGCGAGCTGGTGACAACAGAAGAGTAGAGAGGAGGATGAGGGAACAAAGAGGAGAATGAGTGGCAGTGGGGGGGGGGGGTGACAATGGAGGTGGTTGTGGGAGATGTTGCGAGCTCTCGAAAAGAACGACCTTTCCGTCCTGAATGGCACGGGCAAGCCGCCCACAATTCTGTCTCCACGGCGACTGAGGCATTTCCATTTGTGGCCCAAGCGTCTCTGTCTTCACTATCGCGATG